TACTGTAAATCTTGTTAGAGTTAGGCATCAGGAAGAGCATCCGGTCTTGTAAAACCCTTGCCTCAAATCATTATAACAAATCTTTCCTCACAGGCAGGACACACCTTGCTTTGTGCAAGATTAATTCCAATCCTGCCTCAACAAAAAAACATGGCTATGTATGTATGTATGTACATATGTATGCCTCCTTAAGATGCAGGTAGTCATAGTTCTCCACAGACTATTTTGTTATTTTTTGGGGGATTAAAACTACAGAATCTTCTAGAAAAGGTAGTAAAGGAAAGCAAGACAAAAGGACTAGCTATCAACTGTAAGAAGACAGAAAGTATGGTTACCAGAAAGCGATAATGCCAAAGTTGTAAACTATGAATTGGATATGTCAAAATGAAACAAAGTTTAAATATCTGGGAAGTGTTTTAATGAAGGATGGAAAATGCAACACCGAAATCCGAAATCACGTTGGAATAGCAAAAAATTCCTTCCAGAAACTAAGCAAAGTATTAAGAAACAAGAAAAATTTCATTAGAAACAAAGAAAAAAAAAAACCTGAATTGCTATATGATATCAATCCTTTTGTATGGCAGTGAGTGTTAGACTATCTCACTACAGTTGAAGTGGGGGACTGGAGGCAACAGAAATGTGGTTCTACAGAAGAATACTGAGAATTCCATGGATGGAGCATGTGAACAATGAGGAAGTCTTACAGAAAATGCTAACAAAAAGTAGACTTATACTCAGAACCAGAAAGAGAAACCTGAAATTTCTTGGTCATTTAATAAGAATAACTTCTATAGGTTGATATAATGCCAAAATCTAAATATTTTGAACACAATTTTCAACTACAGATAAAATGTATTATTGGTCATTTTGCTATAAAATGTATTGTTAGTCATTTTACTATAAAATGTATTCAGGTCATTTTACTATAAATAAGTATTGTTGGCAACTTTACTACAAATGTGTATTATTAGCAATTTTTTAATATAAAAAAAGTATTTCTGATATTTTTACTGCAAAAATATATTTTTGTACTTTCATAGAATTTTGTTTTTGTTAGGGAATTCACTATTTACCCATAGCTGGGACCCTAACCGATGCTACTACACCAGGTAGCATTGATCTGGGAACAACAGCTATTAAGAGGTACATAATGAGGAAGAAGGGCTTCGAAAACTTAACAATCATATGGTATATCAAGGGTAAAAGAGAGAGTGGAAGGCAGCAGGTTAACTATTTGATGAGCTTAACTGAATGGAAAACAGGTGGATTGGCAAAGGGAGAAACTTAGCGAAGGGCCACAAAGGATAGAATGTTGTGAAGAGCCATGTCTATAGATTCCCTGCCTGACAAAATTGTATGGATAGATTGCAAAACAGGAAGCTTGGCAAAGGGAGACTGCTAAGGGCCACGGGGGATAGAAAGTTGTGGAGAGCTAGGTCTATAGATTCGCTATACCTGCCTGACAAGATTGTGTGGATAAATTGCAAAACAGGAAGCTTGGCAAAGGGAGACTGCTAAGGGCCACAGGGGATAGAAAGTCGTGGAGAGCTAGGTCTATAGATTCGCTATACCTGCCTGATGTGTGGATAAATTGCAAAACAGGAAGCTTGGCAAAGGGAGACACACTTGTAAGGGCCATGAGGGATAGAAAGTTGTAGAGAGACATGATCACTCTCATCCTGAAGGGACACAACACATAGATGATTTGTAAATTGCCCTGAACTACCTGACAAGGTTGTGTGAATAGATGGCAGAAGAAGGGGCGGGAAGCTTGGCAAAAAGACACTTGCTGCTAAGGGTCACAAAAGATAGGTAGCCATGATCGTCCACATCCTGAAGGGACATGTCACTCAAAACCGTCTTTCTCTTAGGCTAATTGCCAATCAGAGCTTGAGATTCCCATCTACTCTGCTATTTCATCCATTGTCACAGAGAGAACAGATGAATTCATGTGTTTCCCAGAGACATTTGTGTGAAATTAAATGCAACAGACTGTGTGAAAATTTGGCTTGTGGATTCCACTTTCCACATCAATAAATAACAATTACATCATCTGTACACATTCTCATGTTGATAGTTATAGTCTGACACAAGGTTAGAATTTTAGAGCAACCAGTGGTAATCAAACAGTCTATACAGTGTTACATCTTTAATCTGGCACTCTTGGGATCAGGCCACTGCTGAACCACAAAAAATACCAGATGACAGAAATCCTCCCTAAAAAAGAACCCAACTTTAACATAGTCTTGCCAGCTCATTCCACATATGTTATCATATGGCTCTTCACATCTATCTCTCCCTTATGATTCTTAGTAGCATTTCTCTTTGCCAAGCCTCCTGTTCCCTGTTGCAGAATAATGGTGATCATGACTCCTCACAACTTTCTATTCCTCGTGGCCCTTAAGAGCATTTCTCCCTCTGCCAAGACACATATGCTACCAAAGGTAGAACAAAAGCTTAAAACAAGAAATAAAAGAATCATTAATGGTTCCAAACAATATTTTTATTATTTTCTGACAATACAAAGGCTACACTATTTACATTATTCAGACTATTGTCCTCATCTTTGTCACCATATTTATTACAACGTTTAGGCTGTTGTATGCTCCAGCCTTCTTCAGATGGTTGGAATGTCGAACAGAACCCTTTATTTTGCTCACTGGGTAAACTGTTCTAGTTCCACATACCATGTTTAATGGATGTCAGTTATCAGTTATCTCCTATTAATTCCCCTCTCCAAGTTCTACACTGCCTTAACTGGGTATTTAACTCACACTCTTTAGGTCCTGTCACTGGATCTAATGAACACCTTTATCCACTGTGCCATGTACCCCAGTGAGCGAAATAAAAGGTTCAGTACGACATTCCAACCACCTGAAGAAGGCCAGTGTGTACAATGGCCAAAATGATGTAATAAATATGGCGATATAGATGAGGACAATAGTCCGAATAATGTAAATGGTGTACATAATACCTCATCTCATATAGACAGATACAAAGGCTAATAAAAAGCCTAAAACCAAATAATAACACAGTGGAACCTCAGTTCACAAACTTAATTTGTTCCTGAAGGCCATTTATAACCCAAAATGTTCCTAAATTGAAATTATTCTTCCAATAAGAATGATTGCAGAGAAAAAAAATTCATAGTACAATAAAACTGGAAAATAAAAGCATTCCAGAACACACAAATGTATACAACACGGCAGTCAACTCAAAAATTATTCTGTTTGTGTTAACTTGGTTCAGCAATGTTGTTCAAGAAGCAAAATTTTGTTTGATAAGCGAGGCATTTTCATCTCAAATTTTCTGTTCAAAAAACAGATTTGTTCGACATGTGAGACATTTGAGAACCGAGGATCCTCTGTATATATTTACTACAGGGTGATTGATAAGTAAATCTCCATTTTAAAATACTTATAATTTATTTATTAACTATAATTTTTACAAGAAATTGGTTTTAGAGGAAAGCGTTTAGCATGATGTTTTATTTAAAATTCAATATGTTGCACCAGATTTTGCTACCAGCTTTTCGAGCTTTCCAGGAATCTTGTTAACTGATTTCACCAGGAACTCTTGTGATATGGAAGACATAACTTCTTGTATTCACCCTTCAAGTTCTTCCAAAGACTTGGTTTGGTATAATAGACTTCATTCTTTAACCAACTCCAAAGAAAAAAGTCACAGGGTATTAAATCAGGACTCCTGGCTGGCCACTTATATATAAAATAGCGAGTTACTTTTCAATCATCCTGTATATATAAGGAGTCCATCAAGAATCAATGATGACCCAAACTAGCACAAATTGATTTGACATGGCCAAGGTATTGACTCATTTGAACAAGTGTGTCCTACAGTGAGATCTAAGGCCAAAATTGGAAGCACAAATTTACCCACAGACGGATCATGCTACTTAGGTGGTTGAAGAATCACCATGTTTCCATACAGCTTTCTTCCAGCTTTTGCACCCTGTCATTTTCAAACTTCCTATCCTGAAAAGGTAAATATGCAGCTATATATGAGAAATGAGCAAGACCGTATCACCAAAACACTCTGCTGCTGTGAAAAGTTGTAAACAAACATGTGGCACTGCTCTTGTGGCTGACCAGTGAATTAATGGACGCTGATTAGAAAAGTGCCAGACCATGTGAGTTGCCAGACCACTAACTTTTGGATTCAAACAGTCAGACTGTAGTAGCAATTATGTACCAGACTAGCTTGTTATCCATTACCCTATATTGAGGCTGGTACAAGGCCACAAGTGTGAAGGTATTCAGTGTTAATTGAACTCATTTTTTCCTTTCTTTTTTTTTTTCTTTTTTTTTAATACCAAATCCCTTCATATAAGCAAACATGGCTCTCCACAGATTCCTTTTTTTATTCTGTGAATTGCCATGAGTTCTTGGTAAAGATAGTGGAGTAGTTTCCTGTTGCCTTCTCTACAGATTCCTTTTCTTTATTATTTGTGAATTGCCATGAGTTCTTGGGAAAGATAGTGGAGTAGTTTCCTGTTGCCTTCTCTACAGATTCCTTTTCTTTATTATTTGTGAATTGCCATGAGTTCTTGGGAAAGATAGTGGAGTAGTTTCCTGTTGCCTTCTCTACAGATTCCTTTTCTTTATTATTTGTGAATGGCTATGACTTCTTGGGAAATATAGTAGAGGGTTTGCCTATTGCTTTCTCCACAGTTTTGAATTCAGCGTAGTCTATCAGATACTCTCTCTTCCACATAAAGCTAAAGAGTACAATTTGCTATTTTAACCTACAGCTGAGGAAAAGATGGATTCCTACCTTTCCCAAGGGCATCAGTACAAAAGTGAGCAGAAGAGAGTGTGAAAATTTGAACTTTGCTTGCTGATTCTATTTTTCTGTGTTGATAACCATTACACTAACCATACATTTTGGCAACCAGTGAGGTCTCAAATCACGACAATATTATTTGTCTGTGAGTCGAGCTTGCTAACCATTGCTCTACAGAAAGGTTCACTTTTTTCTCACCAATGTTTTCCTCTCTCTTCTTTTTGCCTTCTGCCTTCCATTTTGTTCTTACATTTCTCTCTCTCTCTCTCTCTCTCTCTTCCTTTCTTAGCCTAATGGTATTTACCCCCAAACTGCCTGATATTTCCATCTCCATTCTTGTTCCAAACTCTTCATGTTTATTGTCTGACCTCCATGCCAAACAAATTTGGACATTCCCTGCTCTGAGGTCAGCAAATGTCCAGGCTGGGCCTTGTTCATCAATCAATTCGATAACGGCTGATTTTGGCCATTGCAATGAAAGATGCGACCATCTTCCCACCCCAACCCACAAATGTTCACCTGCCAACTTGGGGCACAAAGAGAGAGAAAGATCTACGATTACTTATATCTGAAAGTGGATGCGAAACAACATTGTATTTTGTGATTTGGTGTCTGCTGCCTTTATTCTTGGTTGCAGTGCAAGAATTTGAAGTGCAGGCCACAAAGAATCTTCTCAATATTGAGAAAGACTTAGGAATTGGTTTTGAATAGTGAAATAAATTGAAAGGCTATCTTAAGGAGTGCGAAACGGAATGTCGTCAGGAAGAGACCCTGGATTTTGAAATTCCACTTACAAAGAAAATTAGCATAAGTCATTTGTTTGTTACTCAGCCATGTTTTATACATTTTTTTTTTCTAGCAGATTTCCATATTTTGAAAAACTTGCATGTACAGTGGAACCTCAGTTCACAAATTTAATTTGTTCCTGAAGGCTGTTCATAAACCGAAACTATTTTTCCAATAGGAATTAATGTAGAAAAAAAAGTCACAGTACAATAAAATTGGAAAAGAAAAAAACAGCACAACATATGAATATATACAACATGGTGGTCGACTCAAAAATTATTCTGTTTGGGTTAACTTGGTTCAGTAATGTTGTTTGAGAACCAAAATTTTGTTCGATAACCGAGGTATTTTCATCTTGAATTTTCTGTACAAAAACCAATTTGTGCGACATGCAAGAGCAAGGTTCCTCTGTATTTTTCTCATATTTTCTTCAAAAGGAACTTTAATTAAACAACTTTTTTTTAATAACCAGTCAGATAACAAAATATAAAGGCTAGACAGTGTTCTTTTTCCAAAAAGTCCTGGGTATGACGATAAACTACACTCAGCAGCAAAGCCCCTGATTGGAAGATTTGAGGTTTTGATGAACATAGATCCACCTCTTAATTGCTGTTGTTCCTAGGGACATCCTGACCCTGGGTGGTAGCACCTGTTAGGGTCCAAGCTATAGGCAAATAGTGAACCCCCAAACAAAAACAAAACATGATGAAAGTATAACATACATATTTATAGCAAAATGACATTTATAGCAAAAAAACAAAAAAATAAAAACAAGAAACAATGCATTTTATCTGTAGTTGAAGGCATGCAATTGCATTAAAATATTTAGATTTTGGCATTAAATAACCTATAGAGGTTGAGATGCTACTAAACAAAATCAATCGAACCAATTTTCACAAGAAGTGGCTTTTTGTGAAACACTCTTTTGCATGTAGGCCTCTATGAACAGCACAATATAAACCTCTTCATTTCTAGTCTTGGGTATGATGATAAATGGCATCTAGCAGCAGAACTTCCATTCGGGAGATTAGAACTTTTGAGAAGTGCAGAACCATCTCTAAATTGCTGTTTTTCCCATTCCACCCTGACCTGGTGTGGTAACACCTGTTAGGGTCCCAGCTATGGGCAAATAGTGAACCCCCTCAAACAAAACACTATGAAAGTTTCAAAATACATTTTTATGGTAAAGAATGTCAGCAATATGCTTTTATATAAAAAATACTGACAATACATATTTACAGTAAAAATAACAATGCATTTTTAGAACAAAATGACCAACAATACATTTTTATAGTAAAATGACCAACAACACATTTTATCTGTAGTTGAAGCTAAGAAATTGTGTTCAAAATATTTAGATTTTGTATTAAATAACCCATAGAGGTGTTGATATACTACCAAACCAAACCAACCTATTCAATTCAAGGATCAATAATTATTTATCCTTTATTTGTATTTATCTCTGAATGCTTTTGTTTGTTTGTTGTGATTGCACCTTGTCTCATTTAAGGCAACAAGTGCATTGCTCGCAGTAAATAATACTTGCTAAACATGGTTCCAGGACATAATTTATCTAATTTTGATTACAGATTCCTTCTTTATGCACAAAGAATGAACAGCTCAGATTAACTCATACAAATGAGAGGATGCTAAAAGTTTTCAACCTTACCAACATAACTACTCTCAAATTTGGATGTTTGATCATTCAGCTTGATTTGGGGAAGTGAGGAGGGCCAAGAACTTTTCAGTATACATATTAATATAAAACATTACTGGATATAAAATCAGTGAAATATAGTTATTATGTAATAAACTGATCACCCAATAATTACTAAATATCATATATATGCTGAAACCTCATCAGCTTGATCAAGAATAAATTAAAAATAAAATTTGGTTCTTTGATCATTTGGTTGCATTTTAGCAAGTGCACCAGGCTTTCTTACATTGTTTCTTTATCCTGGTAGACAGGATTTTATTTGTAAGCACCTCATTGTCTCAATTTAAAACTTTTCAAGAAGATTTGTAACTACTCTAGTCTACAGTATTTACATTAGTCGGACTATTGTCCTCATCTTTGTCGCCATATTTGTCCTGGCGCTTGGCCGTTTATGCGCTCTACAACCTTCTTCAGGTGGTTGGAATTTCGAACTGAACCCTTTATTTCGATCACTGGGGTGGACTGTTCTAGTTCCCACGTGCCATGTTTGATGGATGTCAGTTATCAGTTATCTCCTGCTAATTTTCCCTCTGAAAGTTCTCCACTGCCTTAACCAGGTATTGAACTCACCTTCTTTGTGTCTGTCACTGGATCTAACCAACTTTATCCACTGTGCCATGTGTCCTTGAGGAGCCGGAGTGTACAACGGCCAAAACGTTGTGACAAATATGGCGACAAAGATGAGGACAATAGTCTGACTAATGTAAATATTGTACATAATACCTCACTGGCAAGTTCTCCAAACAGGATAGATGATAAGCGGGAGTTGAGTGGGACGACCACATCACCCCCTCTCAGACATCTCTCCCCATGCATCAAGGCTATCATCTTTCAACATCACCTCTGCTGGGCAGGTCACATGTCCAGAATGCATCTTACTTGATTCTCACATATCATTCTGTTTGGAGAACTCTTATAGGTAAAAGCAATTTTTGTTGTAAATAAATATATATATATATATATATATTATTTTGTTGTAAATATATATATATATATATATATATATATATATATATATATATATATATATATATATATATATATATATATATAATCATATATATAGGCCTGTTTCACTGTATCACAGCTCATCAGTGGCACTAGACAACCGAATGCTTCCAGCCAGGATTGAAACCCGACCGATTTGGTATCAGTCGGAGTTTCTACTCCTAAGCCATCAGTGCTTCGGCAAAGAGAAAGACGGATTCTAGGATATTGTTTTTACGAATGTAAACAGACGCCAGACACCCATAGTGCTCCATATATATAATACCAAATTATAATTGGTAGGGATTATTCCATAGAGGACCTTTCAGTTCATATTCGAGCTCAATGTATGATACAGATCAAATTATAAGATTAATTGGGAAAAAAACCTTAAAAATCCATTGGCAATAATAATTTTTTTCAATGAATATAAGCATATTCATCTCCTCAGACTGACTACATTTTATGAAATTGAATAAAGATATCCTAGACAGACAGATATAAAAAGATAAAAAATAGAAAAAAATACAAGATAAAAACAATAGCAAATATAAATTGACATAGAAAAAGTTTTCTTTGGGGCTTACCTTAAAGAAAGAATGAATAAATATATATATATATATATATATATATATATATATATATATATATATATATAATACCATTTTGTAATTGGTAGGGATTATTCTAAGGAGGACTTTAATCTAATGAGAGCTCAATGTAAGTTACAGAGCAATATGTGAATAAAAGGAAAACACCTTAAAAATCCATATTGGTTATAATTTATTTCATAAATATTGTTATATTCATATCTTTTGACTGAATATTTTTCCATATAGAAAAAACATTTGGTCTGAAGAAATGAATATAACAATATTCATGAAATAAATTATAAAAATTATATATAAATTGATAAATTAAGAAAACACCTTAAAATCCCCTCAAAATTTATTTTATTTATCATCTCTGGTGAAATATTTTATTTATCATCTCTGGTGAAATATTTTATTTATCATCTCTGGTTATTTTATTTATCATCTCTGGTGAAATATTTTATTTATCATCTCTGGTGAAATATTTTATTTATCATCTCTCTCTGAAATATTTTATTTATCATCTCTGGTGAAATATTTTATTTATCATCTCTGGTGAAATATTTTATTTATCATCTCTGGTGAAATATTTTATTTATCATCTCTGGTGAAATATTTTATTTATCATCTCTGGTGAAATATTTTATTTATCATCTCTGGTGAAATATTTTATTTATCATCTCTGGTGAAATAAATTATATCACACTATTCCTCACCACCCTCTATGTCACCTTATATAAGGTTAATACTGCCCTCCAAAAGTTTAAATTTTAAATTCATTTTTTTACCTTTGAATGTGAAATCTGAAGATCCAGAGAAAAATAAAATCTCTGGTGAAATAAATTACAACTAATGGTAATGGAACCTTAAAATGGTCTGTTTTTTCTTTAAATTATATAGTTCCTCACCATTTGGTATAGTAACTTCTATGAATCTTAGCCTAATTGACAATCTCTATCAAATACATTTTCTGTACACTGTATCACAAAAATGTCAGATCAAAATTTGCTTAATAACTCTCAGGCTATGGTAATTGTAATATTAGCCAATTCCTTATATGGAAACAGTCGTCATTCATTGACCAAACAGCTAGTACTTTAGGCTTTATGAAATCAATTTCTCAGGAAAATAGTTTATTCAAGTCCAGTAACTGTTATTGCTCTTCCAGTACTGTTGAGGGTTTCCTTCCTAATCTTTTGTTCAAAGCAATATGGAATATCAACATCAACATGTTGATTATTTCATTATTTTCTCTTTGAGTTACAAGTGCTATCCATTATATTTGTTGCAGCTGTTGAAAGTCCTCAACTGATGTGATTT